ACTCTCAGCTCCGACATAGAACGGCATGATGCTGCTACTATCCTGAGGGCAATAGGAGGTACTACAGTAGGTATATGAGGTTAGTACCGTAAGAGCAATTTCCATTCCGTTACCAATAGGGATGCCACTCGGGCTACTACCAGCCGCAAGCGATGTATCTTATGACCCTTCATACGGGGTACAAACAATATCATAGCAGCACCACAGGCTGCACAAAACAATCCACATATTAGAGCTAATCTAGCTGTACGTGATGGAGAGGAGTATAGGTAAGATATTAGGGCAGGGTGTTGGGGAGAAGGAGGTGGTGGTGGAGGGCCGACTGATATCGACATGTCCGTTGCAAGAAGAGGAGGACCAAGTGTGATAAAGGTTGATAAAATTAGAGGGAATGCGGTAATAAGCCACAACTAAAACACTTACGGTACATTGCTGCAATAACAATAACTCTGATCTTTGGACAACAAGTCTGTACATGATTCACTCAGTAACACAATACACTGAGTAGCCGAAACACGTTCAATGATGATAGGAGATAACGCACCAGTAGAGATAGATAACGACGACAGCCACAACATCCACCGAGAACAAGAATGTCTTCTAAAAACAGTGAGGACGATTTACGATGAAGAATAGCATCAATGCCTCTTGGTGTCGAGACCAGTTTTACTGTTGTTAACGTTCTCGATAAATTTATCCTTACCTGAGGTACTATGATCCTACCTCCTACTTCCTAAGGACGCAGCTTACTAGTCTCAAAATCAGTCATTCTTGAAAAGAGTTGTTGTTGATTAGCCAAACCTTGTTGCGTCTCGGCATCAATCGCCACTATGGACCCATCAACCATCATATTAGTCATACCATCTACACAGAAGGCGTCTATAGGGAGGAGGAGCAGTATCCCAACCTCATTACCATCAGCCATGAGCTCCTCATACTCAGGGGCCTTCTCCTTCACTTCCGAGCTGATCTCCTCGTTCATTGACATAATCAATGTATCGAAATCAATACATTCCTTCCTATACTTGCGTTCTACATCCAGTAGCCTAGGCGTAACCTCGGCCTCTGAGAGCTCCTTCTTGTTCGCTACTCTATCCTTTAACTCGCCTACATACTCCTCATATACAGGTCTATGAGGGTCATCAGCCTATTCGTATTGTATGAGGGCATCGACAGCAACCAAGAGCTTTCTTACCTTGAGCCTTCTTAGGAAAGCATCGGCCTGTCTCTCACCCTTTACTTGGAACCAACGACCCTCTAAACCAGGCTTCCTTGACTCCAGAGTACGATAGAAAATACTTAGAACTTGGTTATACCCGGGATTGAACCTCCGACCTACATCGGGATGAGCTAACCTTAACAAGGCTACTGTCTACCAGTGAGCTTCATGTAGTCCATGTAAGTATTGAAGGCATCAAGAGGGCAAACTTCCTCATCAACTACCTCTCCGCCAGCAGGGATGTAGAAGAGACAGTTAACATCATCACCGAGAGAATAGAACCTATAACATTATCATGGATACCCTCCCCACAATCACATGATACTACCACATACTTCCCATTAGGATGTTCCTGTACAACACGTAGAAGGGCTGACTGGGTCTGGATGGGTATGGCAGCATCATTGAGGAATATGAAGTTACCTACACACATTGGACACTACACTCCGATACGCTTGACTACCCATGAGGCGTGCCGCAGAGAGCTCTACCATACTGCTCTCCCTTGATAGTAAACGCTCATAGAATCTGATAGAGGCAAGTGCCCTACACCAAGTGTTATGAGTGTTGATAATACTGCTCGCCCTCCGCATCCATGTGCGCAGGTGCTAGGTCCAAGTGGGCCTCTCTACTCAATGAGGACTCTTGTAAGGCCCTTCTACGTCGCTGCAATATCGAATACATCTCGAATCTAGCATGCATCGATAGAGAGAACAACTGTGGTAAGTTACAACTACCTATTGTTGTAGATTTCAGCAAACCATTGATG